CTTTTTTCAATGAGCAGCTTGAAGCATTGAACAGGAGGTGTGGGGGGCTATGGCCATCAATGTGTTGTTATCATAATTAGTTTATTTTGTTGTTGTCGTCAATAAAAGTCTCCTAAAACATAATGATTGTGTTGATCCAGCTTCATAATGTGTTTCTGACATTTGTTGAAGTCTCTTTGGGGCATTTGTTTGTATTTTACCTTCATTTTCTAAAAGCTTTGAGCTATTTTTCTTGATTCTCCCTGATGAGGTTTTTTCCTCAGGTATAAAAACGTGTTTTACACGAGTAAAGAAAAGACCAGTCCGTCAGAAAAAGCTGTAATGACAGTTTAAATAAATGTGTGTTTCTGCTACAGAGACAAATACAAGGACGCACACGGGGGACGCAAACAGAGAAGCATGAGACACAATCAGGCCTAGAGATGTTTGAAATGCGTCTGATAAGTAACTCTGAGTTTCAGATAGAAATAACTGTCTGGAGGTTTGGAGTGCTGCGTAATGTCCTAATTGGGCCTCCAGAGCACTGAGCCATACCTGACCTGTACTGAGGAGAGGGGGAGGACGGGCGGTAGATCTTAACGAGATAATGATCAGCTCAGTAGTTTAGATGTGTCTTCTAAAGTGGTTGTATCATTAAAAAAACTGAGCAAATGTGACATTTTTCAAAGCTCCGTTGTGTTCAGGCCTTTTTAGGAGCTATTAATGCAAGAAGCACAAGCTCAGTAATTAAATCTAAAAATATCAAGCTTTGATTGATGAGCACTCAGCTTATGAGCATGTAGAGTTAATGTAAATGCAGCTCTGAGTGGTTTATGGCCTGGCGGGTGAAAACAGCCCGTTTTCGATCATCTGTTATCACCGGCGCTCTCGGATAAACGAATGAATGCTGAGACACGAGGAGGAGCGGCGTTTAGGGGAAGCACTGCACATGCTACACGGGCTGCAGTTATTAGACTCTTGACGAGCCGAATCGTCGAAGCTACTGGGAGTTAGTGTTCCTTTCACCTGATGAGAAAGGGAGATACTGATTGAGGAAAAGACGGGAAAGGGAGTGCGAAAAGCTGATTTGTGAGGGATGGCGTCTCAGAATGACAGAGGTGAGGCTCGATTGTCATCCTCAACAACACAATCACGTGCAATCACAGCCTCGATTGCTACCTATGGATCGAAAAAAAGGGGCTTGATGGAAAACTATCAATGGAGATAAAGAATAAAGGATCAGGAAGAGTGGACTCACACAGGCTGCTAACACGGGAGAAGGAGGAAGGCGGGGGAAGAGAGCAGGGGAAAAAAATGCTTAAAAAGGAAAAAGGGGGAAGAAGTTGCTAGTCCCATTGAGCAGAAGACAAAACTCTAGTTGAATTCAGACAAACGCCGAAACCAGACGAGTTAATGTGGAGGACATGTGGCCTGAGGACACGCCGTCTACTGCTACATATTCTCTCTGTAGCTCCTCTGATGTTATAATTTACTAAAAAAGGTGTTCTGTCACAATAAAAGGGATGAAACTACCAGGAGATTAGAATAAAAAGCTACGTTTGACCCCATCGGGCTACTGTTTGTGCCGTTTAGATCCTCCTCTTCTTTGAGTGAAAATCAGCTAAGCGTTAAGCCGTGACTCCACTCTGATGGTATTGCTTTGTCTGTGGGTTTTATGAGCAATAATGCTGCCTGGAGGTGACAGCTCTGTACTGCATCGTCTGTGCGAGGATGTTAATGAATGCTCATTTAACAAGTGTCTTTACGAACATCTCAACATATGGTGTTACGCAGCAACAGAAGCCGAGAGTCCTTGAAAAGCAATACAGTACTTACCTCCATGACCTCCTGAATTATTAGAAAGGAGGAAGAAGAAATATGATACGCGGTAGTGTATCGGTTATAAAAGCTCTTTTAGAAAATGACTGCTTTAAATGCTGACAAGGCAGATCTGGATACCAATATAACTAGAACATGTCTGATGACAGTTTGAAGGGCATGAATTCAGATGTTAGACAAGCGTAACAGGCAACAAGAACAACAGAAATGTTAAAGCTGCTAGAAGTGGCCCATTAGGGTCACTGCTGTGAGTAGGAGTGGCCTATCATAACCACCAATTGGCTCTGTAGTAAATCACCAGTGGTCTCAAAAATTACCATGGTGACCGGTCCGCGCCGAGGTGCTGAAGATAGGCATGAGCTCTATCTCAAGCGCCGTGGCGCAGCTGTTTACAACATTGTGGAGTACTTGACAACAGACATTACGACGTGGAACGGCTTTACGGCACAAACCCATTTTACCTTATCTTATATATTTATCTTAAAACATTCTAATGAAGACTTACCCATTATTAACAAATTAGTGTCTCACAAAAGTTGACGGCAAGACTGATCACGCAAAAACAAGAGTCACTTCCTGTTCTCAAGTCCGGCATGATGTTGTGACTATCGCACGGCTGTCCAAGAAGCGCTCAGCAGTGCGTCGCTTCCTGTGTGACCATTTGAGTTCCCAAAACAGCGACGCATCTGTCTTCAGTGTGCCCCAGGCTTTAGGCTCACAGTGGGAATTAGTACCTCATTAAGGTTACCATACCCAATTAGTGTCACCGTAGTAACAGTGGCTTCTATTACTATAACCATGGTAACTACCAGTAGCCCCATTAGGCTTCACCGTGGTAACTGTACTACCAATAGAAATTGTGCCTGAAAACAGTGCCAAAAAGGTGACACCTAGAAGATCGAGGTGTAAAAGCTGTTCCCCTACATGGTTTTATACGAGATATAAAAAGTTAAAATGAATGACACCCTGTGGTCAGATTAGGGTACTACAGTCCATGTATCTAAACAAACGAGTTCATGCTGAGCAACCGTTGCCAGTTATGGATCAGCACCAGAAAGTTCTAGACGACAAGAGATTATGAGTCATACACAGTAAGTTAAGTAGATGAATACATTTCACCGTATTATTGAGTTGTTGGTTACTGAAAAAGTAGCCTGAGTGGCTAAGAGTCTGTCCACAGCGTTGCTTCTTTTAGCTGGCTAGTGTCAAATTACAAATGCCAGTGCAGACATGGCAACCCCAGGGGCTTTAGGGCAATCAATTTCCCTCTGGGATTAATAAAGTATTCTTGGATTGAATTGAATTAGATTTGATTGGCTCTGGAACCACGAAGTATGGAGGCGGGCTCACAGATTGTAAACAAAAACTACGTCCCTCTTTGGCCTTTTTTTAACGAGACAACCCCCCCCCCCCCCCAGCCAGCTGATCATTATTCATGATAGGAAACAGACTGTTTTGAGGTTATTGCACTGCAACATTATTACTTATTCTACCTTTAAAGTATGTGGCTCTATGATTGGAAGAAAAATAGACTTGGATTCTTGAGTTGGTTGTAGATCACTTTAAATCTGTTTCTTTTCCACCTTAATTTCCACAAAGTTTGGATCAGTGAAGACTGCCTTTGGAGTGGAGGTGAACACAACTTTTGATCAGCTTGTTACAAAAAACTTCACAGGATGAGTTTCACCCTCCCCGCAGGTTCAACTAAACACAATAAAGATGCAGCAAAAACCCAGAGAGAGCCCAGAACTCCAGATCATTAATCTCTGCTGGCAGGATTTCATCACTGCTTTACTTGTAAACATCCGAGCGGCTATTCAGAGCCGGCTGACCAAGGTGACGCGTGTTTATCCGAGAGGGAGACAAGAGGGGAAGAGATCCCCCCCCCCCCCCCCCCCCCCCCCCCCCCCCCCCCAGAGATAACCTGTGAGTAAACTTAGGATGCTACTTTATTCAGGCGAACCTCTTCAATCGCCTGCAGAGGAGTCCGATTGGGCTGTAAACTCTGAGGTGCACTTTGATTCGAAGCGCAGGACTGTAAATCTACATTACCTCCACTTAAATCTGAACTCCATTCTGAACTGCAGAGGCTGTTATTTTAAATGTATTCCCACTGCAGCTCAACAGACAAATGGAGCCAAGCGTGTGAGGTGGAAGTTCAGCTGGACAACGAGGAAGAGCTGCTGTGCTAATAAAGAGCGCCTAAGCTGTCAATGCACTGCCTACTCTTTAGATTTGCTAAGGGACTGGATTTTAATGGGAACACTGGGGGTGGGAGAGAGAGGAAGAGTTTAGATTTTCATGTTGCTGAGACATGTTTTTGAGCTCATTAGGTCATTGCTTGATAGTTTTTACAGATAATAATTTAGATGAAACTTTTATCGTGCAAAGACAGATCTCGTTTTGGTTTTTATTGGATAAGTATCTGTGAAAACTGATAGCATCTCATGAGATTTACAAATTATTTCATTTCTTAATTCTAAACTGCAACATGAGCCTGTTGGGGTGCCACTGCTGCAGCTTCGTGTTGTGTGTCAGGTGTGAATGAAACAGGACCTTCTACTATATTAGGAGGGGTGATTACTAAAGGACAGTTTGCTTCTAGAGAGCCCATGAGAACAAAACTCATTTATTGATTTGTAACAAACGGTTACAAAACTTTCACTATTTATAAACGTTGTTTTACACATTTACCTCTTTGCTCATTGCCAGTGATGAAAGGGAGTCTGATGTGCTTGTCATTATGCTGGAGCTTGTGCTTCCAGGGATTTTTGACCCTAATGGCCACCCATTGGTAAGGTCTTACTCAAACACAAAAATAATGCTTGCTTGCAGTTATTTAGCTATGTACTGTTCCTTTTCGCCAGGGTAAATATCCATCATCACATGAAGCAGGATTAGTTCAGTCCTCCCAAAAATAAATAAATAAATAAATAAATAAATAAAAACCTCCTGGTGGAGATTCTAAGTACTGCAGGTGGCCAGTGCCAATTTTCTTTTCTCTTTTATTTCTTCCTTCTTCCTGTGTTTTTATAAATAGTATAAAGAAAACTAAATGTAGTGAAAATGCTGCTCCTGAAACCTGATAATAAAGTTCTGCTGTGATCTCTGCAGCAGCGAGACAAACAAACTGTAGTAATACCACCTCATATTTCCCTCACTGGGGGTCATGCCGGTCTTACCCAGAAGAGTGATGATGCAGCCCAGAATAGCCAGGAGGGCGCCGGTACTCAGACCAGTGGCCGTGTAGGCCACCGCTCCACATGACAAGGTCTCGCCGTTTGAGTCGCACTCACACACACGCACCGAGAGTGTGTTTGTGCTGCTGAGGGCTGGACTTCCACTGTCTGTAATCAACACGGGTAGGCGATAAACAGGCTGCTCGCTCCTTCTGAAGCCACCTCTCTTCGTCAGTATGGACGCCGTGTTGTCTGTAAAGCACAAATGTCATATGTATTCATCACATACATTCACATATATATCTACATCTGACAAGCTGAGAGCTTAACCTCTAATGGAGCCGGTACTTTTGTTGTACACTACAGGATTATCAGCATAAATGCTTACAGATGGTGTCATTAACACTGTTCATTATAAGACACGCTGCAGCGTCTCTGTCTGGTCTTTGCCACCTGTTGGCTAATATCAGCTTTGCTTTGATGGCTAAAAAAATCTAATCTCAGCGTATGAAAGAAAGAGACCGAGAGCAAAACAAGCAACCATTACAGGAGCAACAAAAGCGTTTCATGACAGCTATATCAATAGATGGAGATGCACTCTCAAACAGAGCAGTCGTGATTGAAATGCAGATGTTGAAGCCTTGAAGGTCGATTCTTTTGTCTGGGCGGTATTCAGATTTCATTCAGATGGCAAAGGGAAAAATGTGACATTATACTTATAACGAAACAGACCTTGTTATATGTTGTCCCAAACTGCTAATATCGGCGTGCTGCTGAGACAGTTCCTGACTTATTTACAGGGAATTTCATCCTTTTAGTGTCAGACTTTAGTGGGGTTTGCTGTTACCGTTCATCCCAAAGCTCGTAATTAGGATGAAAGACAAAGGTCCAGGCCAGTCCAGTCCAAAGCGCAGCTCGGGGGCCATGTGTGGCCCTCGGAGGGATGTTGTGTGGCCCCCATTTGCACATCTCGAGTGGATACATATTTCTCTCTCCAACAGATTTTTTAACATATTCATGTACAGATGTGCACAGATATGAGGCCTATTTTTGAGCAGGACAGATAAATACATTTTTGTATTTTCTAAATACAAGTTGCAAATTTCTGTGGCCCCCTTTAGAAACGTTTGGACATCTATGGACTAGACTTCCAACATATACAGCAACTAATCAGAGAAATGTAACATGTAAGATAAAACTGGAAAAAAAAACCTGCCCCTTAGTGGCTGGTTTCAGGACAACTTTTAAGCCCCGCCCTCTGCATGTAAACAAATGAAACATCATCTGTGCTAAAAGATTTGAATACATCTGAGGTCTTTTGTGTGTTGTTCTTTCCTTGCTTCTGTATTTTCAGATATTTATTTTTGTAAATAAATAAACGCCACATTGTGTACAGGTGAGTAGGTGGGGCTTTCAAACCCACATCTAGGGTGGCTCGTGTGCTTTAGTAGATGTGATTCAAAACCTGTGGTTTGGAGACTTGGAAATGGTTAAAAAGTCACTGAAAACCTGAAAGGTTTTACGAGGACATGTATGCACGTTACCTGTTCTTCTAGTCCCTAAATGTCACCTTGTGTTTTAATTCTCAAAGCTCTTGGCCCCCTTAACGTTGAATTAAGACCCCTGACTGAATGTAGTGGATGATGACGCTCAAATGCTCCTAATCTGTCCCTAAAAGGTCAAACTGCTAAAGTTCCCACTAATACCGTACCATGTGTGCACCAACCTCTGATTCTTCCCCAAGCTCAACATCCTCATTGCCGAATGTAGATGCGCTCAAGAAGATGCCACACTATCATGACTCTGATTGCACGATGGGTTTGTAATCATTGTGGCCAGTCCAGACCATACGCACACTCCACCTAAAGGGAGCCTAAGTCTACTTCCACGTAATGGGTCCTCGGAAGAACGAAACAATGAATGCAAGTCAACGGAGCTAAAAACGCTATTTTCTAATCCGCTTTGCCGTACACCCTGGATCACACATGTTGTACTGCAATTTAAATGAAAAGTAATGATGAGTGTTTCGACCACGCCAGTCACATACTTTGAGATTTATCCGCTTATAAAAGTCCGTAATTAGCATGACTACAAACTAGAAATCGGCATGTCGCACATGTGACGTCACCACATAATCTCCTCTCCTCTAGCATAGCTGCTACTTACCAAATGGCCAGATTTATGGTGGTTCTTTCCTCCTGTGGGACGTTTGCTGAACTTACAGCCATTTTCCCTCAGTTTTCCCTGTGTCTGGTTTGATGACGTCACTTTCATCAAAAAACCTAAAATAGCGTTTCCCCCGTTTGACAATAAGCTCGTTCTTGGTATCAAAGTGCTTCTTTAAAAATCACAGACATATGTGAAATCCATGGCACAAAACAAGCGGAATTGGAAAATAGCGTTTTTAGCCCCGCTGACTTGCATTTATTTTGTCGTTCTTCCGGGGACCCATGACGCGGAAGTAGGTGGGCGTGACTTAGGCTTCCTATAGGACCGCCACTACTATGATCAAACACCATCATGACCTCACTATGGAAGTTTTGTTTGAGCTAGCACATGTAATACTGAGCCTATGCATTTTTAGAGTCATCATCCCGAGTGAAGGGGGTGCTGAAGTCAATCCCGAGAACTAAACTTTATGAGGTACTTCTAGCTAATACCCCTGTTGTCTTCAGAACATCCTGAATCTCACAAAGCGTTGATCTAAAGCAGGATAGATCCATGCTTTACCAAATTCTGACCCAACCATTTGAATTCTGCTGCTGAAACTAAGACTCTTCAAACCAGGAAACGTTTTTCAGGTCCCTGATGTGCGAATTACAGCTGGTTTTCTATTTATGTTCCCATTTTCACACAGTATTTTATTTTGTAATTCTGAAAATGTGTATATATATCCAATAATTAGATATTTGAATATTTTATTTTACTTTTTTCCGCCTGTTGTGGATGTAATTGCTGCTGTGACACTAACATTTTCCCACTGGGAGACGAAAAAGGAATTTTCTATTCTATTTTTTATAATAAAACAAGTCTGACTATTATCCTCTAACCTCTGACACCTACAACACACAACTGCTGCTCACTGAATATTTCATTCTTTCTTCTGGACCATTCTCTGTAAACTAAAATGAAAATCCCAGCAGATCAGCTATTTCTGAAATACTCAGACCAACCACCATGTTCTACGTCCCTTAAATCTTCCTCGTTTCACTGCTCAATTAAAAATTCTGCAGGTCATCCCGATGCCTAAACTTCCTCTGAAAGATTTATTGCCACACATATAAAGCAACAAGCTACCAAAAAACTCTGTTCAGTTTAAATAACTAATCTGCAGCTAATTCAAACATCCACGTCTGTACTCGTGGATTACGCCCTCTCAACCAGACTGCTGCACCTTGTGAAAGGTAACACGACAACGTCAAACAATCACCCACACATGTGGGCAAACACTCATCGAAGAACATCATCTTATGGAGTATATCAGCTCGGAACAGCTTTCTTTTTCTTTCTAAGCGGCGGGGATTTGTAATGATGAAGTCAAACACAAGTCCCAGGAGTCTTTAAAGCTATACACAAATTAAAATTAAGTTTTTCACCCACTTTTGGTGTGTGGGTGGCTACTGGCATTAAAGGGATGGTTTGAAGTGTTTTTTTTTTTATATGGATTATTGATAAACAAAAAGGAGAATAAATTGAGTGTGTGTTTTAGAAGTGAATTATAACCTGAGGAGTGGGCAGAAAGTCAACGGCATAGGCAGGTTTGATTCAAAGGAAGTCAGCAGCTAACAGACCGTTCCTATCGCACCCAGATTCTGAAGTCTCCTTTCAATATTACTACAGCTTATTCGCTTCACCAGCTGCCGTCTAAAGGTCTGAGCTGACACTTCCAGCATTGATAAAAACATTTGCACTTCCTACATTTAAGGTGATGGGTTTTCTCGTTTACACCCACATAAAAAAAACTGCTTTTTATCAAAATATGATGTTATAACAAATAATCTTCAGTATTTCTTGGTGATTGTAAACATCACTGTGAGAGACAAGCTACACACACACACACACACACACACACACACACACACACACACACACACACACACACACACACACACACACACACACACACACATGAGAAACATTTTGAACAGTTATTATTGTATTTGCTATAGAAAGCTTTTCCTCAGTCTGGAGGAACAGAGTTTAATTCTGACCAGATTGATGAGCTAAAGGCTAGTACAAGTGGAACCAAGATCATAGAGGAATACTGCCATATTTAAATGACTCCAGTTTTATTTAAACCTTTTGCACCTTCACAGAAAAAATAATTCCAAACACAAACAGTATTAGCCACTAGCACATCTGGCACAGCCTGGGGCATCATAATTTTTTTGCAAACGTAGCCATGTAATGCTAAACTTAGGTTTCCACTTCTGTCCTATGGCTGTTTCTCAAACTGAGGCCATTTAAGGAGCCACCTTAAACAGGCAAGATATTAATTATAAGTTAATATTAGCTACCAATTAGAAAACGTTAGTTTTGGTCATTTAGGGAATATAATAGATACAAATTATTTGTTATTTCTACACACATCTGGCATGCACAATGGTGCTGTGTAGCCATAACTACCATAACAATGTCACGTTGTTGGAGGGCATTATTAAGCATTAATAAACAAAGGATCCCTTTATTAAAGTTCGTTAGGACATTATTAAGCATTAGGGTCCCTTTAATAATGTTAGTTGGTGCATTAATAAGCATTAATAAACAAAGGGTCTCTGTATTAGCATGACTTGGTGCATTTATAAACATTAACGAACAAAAGGTCCCTTAATTAAAGTTCTTTAGGGCACTATTAAGCATTATTAAACAAATGGCCCCCTTTTTAAAGTTACTTGGTGTATTATTAAACAAAGGGTCCCTTCATTAACTTTACTTGGTGCATTAGTAACATTAATAAACAAAAAGTCCCTTTATTAAAGTTCTTTAGGGCATTATTAGGCCTTAATTTAAAAAAGGGTCTGATTATTAACATTATTTGGTGCAATATTAAGCATTAATAGACAAAGGGGATATTAATTAAAGTTATTTAGGGCATTATTAAGCACTAATAAACAGAGGGTCCCTTTATTAATGTAACTTGGTGCATTATTACGCATTAATAAACAAGTGGCCCCTTATTAACGTTACTTGATGCATTATTAAGCATTAGTACACAAAGGGGCAACTTATTAAAGTTCTTTAAGGCATTATTAAACATTAATAAACAGTGTCCCTTATTAACATTACTTGGTGCATTATTAAACATGAATTAAATGAAGGGTCTCTTTAGTAAAGTTACTGTTATTGTTAACTATTAATTGTTGTTAAGGTTAGGATAAAGGGTCAGGGAGGAGAGTCTGCTTAGCAATGCATTACACATAATGGTTAGGGTTAATTCTTTTGTTGATATTTTAATAGTTTAATGCTTAATAATGCACTAAGTAATGTTAAAGAGCCGCTGATTGGAAAGTGTTACCAATATTAAACTTAACAGCTTTTTGACATTTTATAGACATTATGACTGAGATATTTGCAATGCATTTGGAGTTATGTCAGCATCAGGTAATACCGCCTACTTCAGGGCAGAACAGAAAGTTGGGAAAAGATGTATTAATAAGGGCTGCATTCCATTTAGTTAAAGTTTTGCTAGCATAGCTCAACAGAATGAAGTATTCTTCTGCAGAACAACCAATGAGCCTTTGTGATGTTTCCAGATTCTATTAAATGCTTCAGATTAAACAGTTTAATGACATGTTGATGGTTTTAACATTCATCCAGATCTGCAAATAGCCTCTGAGACACTTTATTCAGTTAAAGCAGCAAAACAGCAACTCTGGGAAGTACATCAAAGACAAAAGACAAACGGTTGTTGCACCTTTGTTATCCCGCAGTGTGAAGTTGAGATTGCCAGCAACAGGCGCATCCAGGGTGAAATAAAAGCGATGACCGCTCAGAGGTTCGTCCTTATCCACCGCGCTGATCGTCCGAATCAGCTGCAGATGAGAAGAATAAAAAAAGACATTTAAGATCTCATGGCCCAATTAGCTGTTAACAGGGCTGTAAATCGTTTGATGTGTCCAAGCAGAAAGTAGTGAAGTAAAAAAAATAAAAATGTTTTTTTTTAAACAACCAAACAGAGGTGTGATTGAATTAGAGAAAACCAACTCCAGTCTGAATGATGAGAAAAGGTTGATTTTATAATTATTGGCTTTGGTGCCGTGCCATTTATTTCCTCAAGTACAGTAAGTGCTTATTTGGCAAGAGTTTGGCAACCTTTTAGAGATGAAGTGTTTTCTTTTAGGAAGTGATTTCAACAAACCAAATGACTGTACAGAGATTATGTGTTTTCCAGCCCCTGTTCTCAGACCACAACACATTTAGCGTGTTCAGTAAAGCGGAGAACATCAAACTGCTGGAGAGCTATTAATCATGAAGCTAGCCCTTCATGATTCTGCTCAGAAAAAGAGAAAAAAAGAAAATGTTCTTGATAATTCCATAAATAACCATTTTTTTGTCACAAGCTTTTATCAAACATTTAAAATATCTGTTGTAAATTTGCTTTAAAGGAGTAGTTCACTCGTTAAGTCAATACATTTGCAGTGGTCTCCAGTAGGAATTAATGCCTTGTGAGTTGTTCCCGGGGGGAAATTATACTGTTGCACCATTTCTTGGAGCCCCAAACTTGCACTGCGCCCTATGGTCTTCAGTGAAGTGCATTTGGAGGAAGTGTACTATAAGGCTTTGAGCACGTAGCACACACATGTGCAAATAGTTGCTGAATTGGGACAGGGAGCATTGCGTCATTGACAGCCAGTCGCAGTTTGTGCTAGTTTAAAACAATTTTTTATTAAAGGTGCATCATGTAGAAATGAAGTAAAAATTACACCCTGTGGTAGAATTTGGATACTGCAACCACTGCAGCCAACTCTGGGGCTTTTTGCCGGTCGTCGCTGCAGCATTAGCTCACAGGAGACACGGCAACCCCCACATTCACCGATGGTAACCAGTAGTTACGTCCCTCCTGCCTTTGTTTTGAAAAGAGAAAAACTGACAATCCCCGCAGCCAGCTGGGTATGAAATATGTTTCAGTTTAACCTTCCTTCCAAAATGACTGAAATGACTCTTTTGGGATTTCCTCACTGTCAAATTATCACTATATTCTTACATACTGCACCTTTAACAACTTTCAAACAAATGAAAAATTTCTTGACAAAGTTTACATACTTTGCTGTTCACATTAAATCTAAAACATTCAGAACAAGAATAAATTGAAATGTGCTGTAGTAGAAGTAAAGGTGGTATGGTATGGTAAAAATCATTAATAATTTTTAAATGAACATCTTTCATTTGAAAATATATATTTTCAGAAAAGGTACTTGAGCTGTTGTTCCGCCTGATTCTCAAAGGTCACACACAGCAATGGACTGTAACGCCTGCATCAATGTGGAGTTGGGCCAAGTGCAAATCAAGGGTGCAAAAAGGGCGTGGTCAACTTCCGCACTTAAGGATCAGTACTCCTGACGTACAGTACTTGCACCCTTGGAATGGAACGTACAATTGAAGGGTGCAAGGTGGGAAATACGAGTATCGGGATTCAGCCAAAGTTCCCCACACCACTGCTGAGCTTCAGACGGCAGGTTTTGGAGTCTTATTTCCTGATATTTGGGCATCTTACCTCGTATTAGATAACAGCAATGCCACTCTACCACTGACTTGCAACGTCGATGTTTTGTCTCCACAAATAACACAAGCCTGGAGAAGCTTCTGCTAAGTGGTGAAGTGGCTAATGCTAACGGTAAGCTTCAACCAGTCGAGCTGTTCTCTCCTGTTTCCTAGATGCTACACCAACAAGAAGCAGAGACATGAATGTTAAGTGACATAGATCTGTCAGGCTTTTCTAATCCTAAAGTTTCAATCAGAAGCTAATGCAGGAGATAGGTGTAGGAGACTGTTGTCATGTTCAGCCTGCATGAAAAACTCTAAATAATCCACCACACCTGTAAATACATCTTCATTTTAATAATTTCAATTATTAATATTATTGAATTTCTGTCAAGATGGATTCCCCTTTGGAACAATTTGTAGTTTTTGACTCCAGGCTGAAAATTCTGTAATGTAATGAGAAGTAATGTTGTCATTTTTGGATGTGACATTGCATATGACACTATTTTTTTTTTCTAATTTGTCCAAAATGGCGTTAACTTTAAAAATTCCAAACACAAGTTCTCTATAAGATCCATAAAATCTAAAGAAAATCATATGTCAAATTTTCCAAATGTTTAAAAGTAAAAAGCAGCGAAACTGGGGTTAATCATGCCATCAGAACCTGCTTTGGATTGCCACAAAGACAGAAAGTCCAAGCTAACAGCAACACTGACTTTCACAGGGGAAATTAGAGAATATCTCCTCTCTATTCATAGCCAGATGTTATCAGAGGCTTCGGCAGTGTCTGGTCATCACGACATCAGGAATATAGACTCAATCCTTTCATTTAAATATCTCGAGCACCTTCAGACTTGCTGGCCTTGTACACTGTCAGATCAGTCGACACCAATACTGTCCAAAATAAATACCTACGGAGCCCAGACATCTACTTTGTTGTTAAGAATGAAAATGACTCACGATAAGAAGCGCTCATGCTCCAGGCGATGCAAGACAAGTATTCATATCTGAGAGGTAAATAAGTGAGTTTTTGCTCTACTTTCTTCTGCATCTGAATCTAGAACAAAAGAGCATAACTCCCTTCATTATATAACGCGGTTGACAACTATAAATGTTGCAAGAAACATTACCAAATAAACCTATTTATTCACACCCACCAGCGTGTGCTGTGATGGTTATTTTATTCATGCGAAAACACACAATCTCAAAAATCAACTTATCTCCGTTCAGCAGAAAAAGCTTTGATTTTAGCAAGTAGCTGCAGCGAGGAAAAAGGGAGGAATCTGAGTCAGAACACGCTGTACGTGAGAGGCACATCACACACCGAGATGCCATATGGACGACAAGTGATAGCCACCGGGACGGCCATCAAAGTGGGTGTTACTGCAGCAGTTTGTCCTTATAAATTTACATCAAGCCTCCTGAATCTTTATAAACTCAACCCTGTGACAACTCGTACCCATGGATGGCATCCAAGACATTCTTCGAAGCAGTTCACACTAAATTATCACATCTGCCAGCCCTAAACAGCTCTTTGTCTAATATCCGGACGAAACCCAACGTAAAAAAGAAGAACTAGAAGGCCCAGGAAGACGATAAAAAAGTCAATGATCCATCAGTGCTGAGACATGGATTATCAGTTGTCAGCTGTGATTAAATGCTGCTGGCTGCAAGCTGTCAGGTATTAAGTGTTTGTGTAGGTGGCAAATGACATCCTGCCAATTATTAAAGCTGGCAGGCAGGGTGAAAATTCGTGAATATCTTACTTTCTTTGCAAAAATTGAAATTGCTGGCCTTTAATCAAAAGATGCATGCTGCTTTGTTTTATTATCAGTTCTGCAGAGCTAGAAGAATTCAATAAAATAAAAAAAGGTTATCATTAGCAGCTGTGGAACCTTTGTGTAAACAGACAGAAGTGATGTTTGTGTCAGCGTCAAACACGACAACTGAGCACCCAAACATGCAGCACACGCACGCTCGATTTCATATCGCAAAAGCTGCCATTGATCCTGGATCATAATAACTCACATACATGCCCCTCACTCGTTTATGGAAATTCCACATCTGATGGAAAGCGGGTTTTTTGTGGTTCTTAGTGCCGACAAAGAGTCCTATACACAATTTGAACCCTTTGATGTCCTTTGAAAATCGCAGGTGGATTCTGAGCTTATCTCGAGGAAGGTTTCCCATTTCTCTCTGCTGAGGGAAAAGGACTGTAAATCATGCCTAAATCAAACACTTTGTAATGTATAATGCCTTTCATTAGCGTGGCTGTGATGCAAGGCGTTCTGGCAAAGCTTTGGTGGGGAATCCTCTAATGGGTTGAGTAGGAGATAGGAGGAAAGAGGCATGGCTGTGGACATAAATTCTTGCTGAAAGACATTAACTGCAGCAGCCGACTGGTGCCTGTCGCAAAGGCACGACGGAGGAGGCCTATGAATCACCGAATTAAAGGATTCTTGAATTTACACTTGGCTGCATGTCAGATCAAAAGGATACTAAATGAAAACGGTGTGGCTTCTACTCCCTTTGGAGCAGGAAGCAGCAAGGTTTGTGCACAACAGATGGTTGAAAGTGCACACATTTATGGGTACTGGTTAACTTATTTATTGACATGTTTACCTTGGTTTAAAAACAGCACAATATTTAATCAAAGTCTACATTAAAAGTATTTTACAGTGCTGTGATAATTTTTTGCCCCTGTAAAGAGTGCATTAGCTTTTGCGTGTCACTGTTGAAGAATTTTATTACGCTCGTTTTTACAGATTTGTTTAAGTTTTGCCACATTGGTGACAGTTTTTCTAGCCTGGCAAGCCAGCAAATACATAATCCTATGTAGTCTGGTCACGAGCCATTGAAGCAAGTCAGTCATGTGGTGGAATCTACGATTGTCCTTCAAACTGTGCCTGCACGCAATTGGACAGTGTTAGGAAGAGCAGGAGCAATGAACGTGACATATTCATCTTTATGGAAGTCAGTCAATGTGGCAGTCTGCCACATTCCATTGAAGAAGAAGCAGATATCCTTTTTCAAAATAAAGGACTCAAGTACCTCTATCTACTTGGGTCTCGAAAGAAAAGTCCAAGTCTAAATCGTTCAAAGTTGATGCCAAAGCTGTTTCAAACAAGTGTTGTTTCTGAACTGACGGCATGTTTGAAGTTTTTCTCTGTCGCAGCTCTGCCCAATAAATATAGAGTGCTGTGACTGGCATGATACAAAAATGTTCGGGCCAATGAAAGACCTGCTGAAGCTGCAATGGAGCACGGCTAGGCCGACCTGTAGAGCAAAAAAACTTGCGTCTGCTACGGTTGGTCTAGATTTTTAGGGCTAT